ACTCTACCACACAACATTCAGGAAATGATGGATGCAAATGAATAATTTTTCCCTCAACAAATATTTATCAAGCACCTCTTATATATAAGGTATAATGCAATTTACAGAGTGTACAAAGTTTGAAAATGGCACAGACCCTTCCCTTGAGGAGTTTCCATTGTAGTGGGAAGTGTGAAATGTACAAAGATAAATGTAGTGCCTGAGGCATCCCCCCAACTCATTGGATGGGTCCCCCAAAGAAGGCCACCTCAGATTCAATGCACTCTGTGGATCTATGTATCCACTAAAACCATGGCTCATTAGCCCCCATTGATGTGTTTATCTTTAATCATCAACCAGAGAGCACAATTAGTTCAAAGCAAAGGCATTTAATGAAAGGGTATAGTAGAAAAATATAAATAAAATATTTTCCTCATATAGCTCAGGTATCCTTCCACAGATATACAAATCAGCAGTAGGAAGGACGGACATACAGAACACACAAGTAGAGAGGTGTACACATAGGAAATACTTGGCTAGAAATGTGGGTGGACATGCACACACACACACACACACACACACACACACACACGAGGGCATGTGTTTGGCCAGGATGTACGCTTAGATGGACACAGAGGGAACACAAGTGGTCAAGGGCACACACGTATGGAGGAACAACCCATGCCTCCCAGGTCGTGGGACCTTTGACGTCTTCTAGTAATGTTCTCGTGCTGCTTCTGCTGGACTTGTTCCCAGATGGTCGGTCTCTGCTGGAGGTGCTGGCTCCTTCCTAATAGTCATGTGTTATCAGGGCTTCTCTCTGCTTCTGGCTTCTGTTTTCTGACTTCAGCTGAAAATCCTTAACTATAGTACTCTCTCTTCTTCATGAGACAAGTGGGTTCTGCCATGTTTTTAGTTACAAGCTAGAAGCATTTTATATAGCCATTTCAGAAAAGCTGCTGCCTTCACTTCAGCCATACAGCCAGCCTAGAAAAAGCCTTTCTCAGCAATTTTCCCTTAGGAGTTGTTTATCTGTTCTCTTTCAGATTCTTGGCTAGAAGACCTCTGTGTCCTCAGCAAGCCATTTCCCCCTCACACACCAAGTCCATTAATTGGTGGGGTTTGGGGGGTTTTTTGTCTTGGTTATTGTTTTTAGCTCCAAATCCATTTCCCTCTTGCATGTAGGTGAGAGAAAGATTGAACCCAGTGAGTAGGGCTTTTGTCTCTCCAATCTGCCCAGCTACATTCTGAAGCTTTCATATGTAGATATAATCAGTCAAAGTCTGAGAGCTCTTTCTCTCTCTCATAAATATGATACCAGGTAGGAAGTGCTGGGGGCAGAGGAAGAGATCCAGACGAAGTGCTCTAGGAAAATTTGAGGTAGGAACAAACTTTCAAATGGGTGCAGGGTAGAGTTCCCAAAAGAGGTAGCACCAGAATTGAGACTGTTTTGTCTTTTCACCTGACTCCTCCTTTCTGTTTTTTTCCCTTTTTCTTCCCTATTTTCGTGCTTTTTTTTTTGCTTCTTCCTGTTACTTTCCCTTCTTCTGCCTTTGTCTTTCAATCCCTTTCTCTCCTCCAATATTGCCCCTTTCTAAGGCAGCATAGAAAATTTACTCCCCTCCTGCAAAGGAAACAGATGCATGCTTTCTCCACCCCTTAAGGGATTGTTATTCTTTGTCTTTCTAGCCAGTTTTCCTCAGAATGAATGTAAATAGCAATTGTTTCTATTTTGGCTAGAAACCCTGAGGGTCTTCTCCTCCCAGATGGATTTTATTTTTTTTGACCAAAGAGGCCTTTCTCTACTTCATTTCTCATTAAGCCTTAATCACTGAACGGGCGTTGCCTCAGTCAAACTGAGACTTGTTAGAGACCTTAGCTTAAAAAGGTCGAGGTCCTCCACTGTATCCCCGGCCATCTCCAGTTGTCCTGATCTGTATCTGGCCACTGGATCGAGATGGCTCCAGAGGAGAAAGTGAGGCTGGTGACTTTGCACAGCCTTACCTCACTTAAATCCAATTCACTTGCATGTCATGGCATCACCTCCCTGATCATGGTCTTCTTCAAGAATGAAGGACAAACAACAACATTTCTCTAGTAAAGTAGAATGGTAGGTAGAAATTTGGGCTTGAAGTCAGAGAGATCTGAATTCAAATTCTCTCTCAAATACTCCCTAACCTGTGTGGCTAAAAGCAAGTCATTTAACCTCCCTGAATTTCCAGTTCCTCCCTAGGACTTAAATCAAAGTTATCAATGGGCTGTCATCTGCACTGGTAAAGAGCACTCCAACACCAGACACTTCCTACACTGATGAAAAAGGTAGAGCCTTCACATGCTTGAGTACTAGCACAGTGCTTCCAGGGAGTAGGCGTTTAATAATTGCTTGTTGGATTAAAGCAGGACTCAGAGAGATCTTTTACTTCTGTTTCATTCCTTTCACTTCAAGTGAAAGTGCCCTTTAACTTCAAGATGGCACTGACTGCATTTTTTCCCCTCTGTGCCAGCTAAAGAAGCAAAAATACTTTCCCCAGTTGCTTCCGCTATTCACTCTTCCTGTCACTGCCCCAAATCCTTCAGAGGGAGAAGCCAAAGTCATCCATTACCCAAGTCCATACTCCATGACATAGCTCAGTCAATGCCAAGGGAATCACTGGGAACCGCCCTATTGGTGGAGACCAGAGCTCCTAGCACATGATTGGCTGGTTGATAGTTGCATAATTTTCCATTACTTTCCCACTGCAGAAATAGAAGCATTGTTGATGCCTTCCAGGGCTGCCTATTCAGTTACTTAAGGACTGCGTAGCCAGTGAGTGAATAATCCAGGCCATTGCTTCTGGGTCTTCTTCCAGATGCCAACCTTTTGACTATTTCATTGCTAACTGGTATCATCTTTTAAAGGTAAACAAAGGTCATAGGATATAGGGCAATGCCAGACTTTAGAGTCACTATCACAGAGCTAGGCCATAGAGGCCATTTACTCCAACTCTGTCATTTTTCAGATGAAGAAAGTAAAGCCAAGGAGGTTAAGTGACAGTCCTAAGGTCACATAGGTAGTAAGTCGTGTTTGTAGTCTAACCACCTTGTTTTACCACTCAGAGACCTGAGTGGTAAAGGGACTTGGCCAAGATCACAAAAGTATTAGGTAGTAGAACCAGGATTGTTTGACCCTAAATCCAATGCCCTTGCCATAGGCCGCAAAGTGGTACAGTGGCTGAAAGGCCAGACCTGGAGTTTAGGTAGACCTGAGTTCAACTCCGGACCTGGACACTAACTAGTTGCATGACCCTGGGCAAGTTACTTCTGTCAACTTCAGTTTCCTTATCTATACAATGGGGAGAATAATAGCTTTACCTCCCAGGATCATTGTGAGGCCAAATGAGATATTTGTAAAGTGCTTTGCAAACCTAAAAGTGTTATATAAATGCTAGATATTATTATTATTATTATTACTAAATATTGCTATTTAATGATTTCATATGTCTTCCCAATAAAACTGTAAATTCGTTCAGGGAAGGGACCATATGTATTTCTGTGTCCCCACTGTTCTTATTTTCCATAGCTGTTTAGTCATTTTTCAGTTGTGTCTGACCCTTTGTGACCTCATTTGGGGCTTTCTTCGCAAAGACACCAGATGCCATTTCTTCTCCAGCTTATTTTGTGGATGAAGAAACTGACGCAAACAGGGTTAAAGTGACTTGCCCGAGGTGACACAGCTAGTGTCTGAGGCCAGATTTGAACTCAGAAAGAGGCCTCCTCTTGACCTGGCACCACCTAGCTGCCCCCTTTACACATAGTGGGCCCTTAAATACTTTTTGAATTGGATTGAAGCCAGCTTCCTGTCAAAAGAGGCATGGAAGTTGGAAGTTCCATTTTCAGTGCCAAAGGATTCATCAAACCTCTCTTTGTCTATAATGTTAGCAATATTAACTTTATGACCATTTAAAAATGTAGAGTGTCAGCTCCTGGGGGGCAGTAACTCTCTCCTTTTTGTCTATTTTTTTTGGGGGGTTAGGCAATGAGTTTAAGTGACTTGCCCAGGGTCACACAGCTAGTAAATGTCAAGTTTCTGAGGTCAAATTTGAACTCAGGTCCTCCTGACTCCAAGGCTGGTGTGCTATCCACTGCTCCATCTCGCTGCCCTATCTCCTTTCTGTATCTGTAACCCTAATGCTTAGGAGAATACTTGGCACCCACCTGGTGGGTGATTATTAATAAATGCTTGTCGATTGACTGACAGCAGTGAGACCCCTCCCTGGGCTTCAAACCCACGCCCTCCAGATCCCAGTCCTGTGCCCTTTCTCCTCTACCATAAAAAGGCAGATTTACCAATACCATTACCCATTAGTTATCTTGCTGAAGGTCGGTAGGAGGAAGAGGGGGAAGGATGTGGAGCTGTTTAAAGAGGAGAAAACTGAGGAGACATGTTAAGTGTCTTAAAATATTTGAAGAACTGTCATGAGTAAGAGGTTTCAGACTTGTTCCATTTGGCACCAGAAAGTAGAACTAGGAGCATTTATAAAGAGATAAAAGTAAGCTTGATGTTGGGAAAAAATTCCTAACAATGAGAAAAGTCCCTAGATGGAATGGACTACCTCAAGAGGTGAAGGGGTCCCTCCTTGCAGGTCTTCAAACGAAGGCTAGACTCCTTGTCCCGTGTGTTGTAAGGGGTAGAATTTTGGGATGGGGGTTGAATGAGCTAGCTGCTGAAGTAAGTCTCTTACCCCTAGATACTAAAATTTTATAAATCTCTTGACCCATATGATATTGAATTTCAGTCACCTATGCTATCCTTGTTCCCCTTTAGCTAGGAAAATTGGGAACAGATGATACATATGAAACCGGCTGGGCCAAGTTCAGGTTAGTTTGAATGGACAGATAGCAGCAAAATGAGAAAGAGGAAATAACCGAGCCTGCAGGGCTGGAGGCCTGCTAGGCACATTAATGGCCACTTAATCCCTCGTGATGTCACCATTCCTTTGTGCACACAGGAAACTCATCCTGATACTATCTCTCCCTTACAGTAATAACAGCCAAATGAAGAAGCGGCCAACCTCAGCAGTGGGCTACAAGAGACCCATCAGCCAGTATGCCCGGGTTGCCATGGCAATGGGGTCCCACCCCAGATACAGGGTAAGAGATTAGGAGATGGAGGGGAAAGAAAAGATTTCCTAGGGAGGTATGATACTCAGACATCATTGACTACTTTATCCTACTCATCACTAGAGCAAGCTAGGGGCAGGGTACAACAAAGAGGATTTTGAGCAGGTGGGGGACCTTAGAGTTCATCTAGCCCAGCTCCCAGGGAGCTGAAGCTCAAAGAAGGGAAAGGATAGGTAGCAGAACTAGGATTTGAACCCAGGTCCTAAGATTCCAAATCCAGAGCTATTTCCATTTTAGGAAGAGGGACATTTATCAAGCCCAGTTCTCACAGATGTTCATTTAAAAAAAACACTTTTAAAAAACATTTTAGGGTCTTACTGAGTTGACAAGAGCACTCAGAGACTATAAAATTTGCCCAAAGTCATGTAGCTAGTATGTGGCAGGATACCACATACTAGGACTACAACCCAAGGCTTCCTGACTCTGAAGCTGGCTTTCTATCAACTATGCAATGCTGACTCTTATACACATTTTCATGTTAGGGAATTCTACCCTTCATGGCACAGAGGAATTTATTTTATGATATGCTTCACATACGACCATGAAGGCTTCAGGCTTCAGGCTTCAGCTGAGCAGTAACATATGGGTGTACATTTTTTAAAAATTCAATAAATATCTGGGCATGATGGCATATGCCTATAACTCCTGCTACCTGGGTGGTGGATCTCTTGGGCTCAGGAATTCTGAGCTGTAATGGGCTAATTCAGTTGGGGGTCCAGTCTGGCATCAGTAGGGTGAGCCCCTGGGAGCAGGGGGTCACCAGGTTGCCTAAGGAGGGGCAAACCAGCCTAGGTCAGAAACGAAACAAGTCAAAGTTCCCATACCAATCAGAGGAAGATCCAGCCTGCTAATGGTCCCTGCATTTCCATCCTAGGATAGAAGACCCAGTCTCAAAAATTAAAAAATAAATTCAATACATATTTTATTAATGCATTTTTATATCATCTGTAAATGATTTCCCAATGACTCCTTCCCAGCCCACTAGAACCCTCTCTTAACAATAAGAAAGTACAACTAAGGAAAATGTATCAATGCATTGGCCATGCTGACAATGTAGGGTCTGGCTTTAGACTCAAGGGAACGTAATTTCCAGACCTTGCTGCGGCAGCACAGCTGCCTTGTCCCAGATCTGTTGTCAGTATCAGCTGTGGGCAGAGAAGGCAATGGTGCCACGCACATCTGTACCCATGTCTGGTTTTACTTTCCCTGGGACAGGCAGAGAACATCCTCTTCTTGGAACTGGATGTGTCCCCTCCAGCTGTCTTTGAGGTTGAATTCTCTCATGACCAAGAACAGGATCCCCGAGCACTGCACATGGAGAGACTTATGCGTCTGGACAGCTTCCTTGAAAGACCTTCCACTGCTAAAGTCCGAAAGTCCAGGTCCTGGTCAGTATACCCAAAGGCCAGTCGGGGATGAATCTGATCTAGGGACTAGGAGGACCCAGTGGTCCATTGGGAGGTACAGATTCTGAGTATATTAGGCAAGGGACACATTGATGGGGAGTAAAGTAAAGGAGAATTAGGGATAGGCTAGACCTACTGACATGTTGCCTGTGCTCTTTTTCCACCTTCCCACCCACTTCTCCCACCAGGTGCCAGAGTCCTCAGCTGCTGCCCTCTTCCACCTCGCATGTCCCACTGGCCTCCAGTTCTCTGCGTCCCTCTACGATGCTGGCCCACGAGTGACAGCCTCCAAGGACCATGCGGCCTGGCCCCACAGACTCTGGGGATATGGGCAGTCAGCCTCAAATCATCTCATCTGCGGCTTTGTGTGTGTGCATGTGTGTGTGTGTGTGTGTGTGTGTGTGTATGTGTGTACACGTGTGTATGTGAGGGGGTGAGAATCTAGCACCGTCCCCCTGCCCTCAATTGTTAGCCTCCTTTATTTATTTAATGTTATTTATTCATGGAGCTCAGCTGGTATGGGGGAAATGACCTTCACTGAGGCCTCTGGGGCTGGCAGCAGTCACTGGGCAGCTTCCTTTCCCTCTTGCCAGTACCTCTCAGATGGGCCTCAGGCCAGTGCCCATATTGGCTGTCTCTTGAAGGGAAGGTGGCCGGTGTCTGAGAAAAAGTGTTCTTCACTACGCATCCCATGCTATGATTTCCATCTCCTTCTCATCCCGTGTGGCACTTAGAGACACCACCAGGCAACTTCTGATGGTGAAGACTGTTGGCTGTCCAGAGAGGAAAAGTTGCTTCCCAGCAATGGTGGTTCCAGAAGGCATAACCAGGGAGCCCTGAGGTGTTGCTGAGCTGCAAGGGCTGAAGCTTGAATTCTCTGGGGCCCAGGCAGCCCCTCTCAGCTTTTCTCTAGGACACTTCCAAGGACTCAAATAACCTCATTGCATCAGGTCACAACCTTCAGTTTTGATGCAGAGCCCTGGCTCTCTACAAACTGTTTCCTTCCTTCTCTCTCAACCCTTCACCTGGATTCTAGGGCCAGGGCTGGGGAAGGCAGTTGCTGCCATTTGCAAGCTCAAGTTGAAGATGCTTGCGGGGAGGGGACAGCGCTTGGTTCTCCATGTCTAAGAGGCAGTGTCTTGCCACAGCCGCCGAGGGGACCCAAGCTCTAAGCGGCAGGAGGGATCTGCACCAACCTGACTTTGAAAAAAAAAGCCAGCTCTTCATTCCCAGTGCTTCCCTCCATGTTTCAGCACAGGGATAGAGGTCCCAGGCACTCTCTTAATAGCATCACTTAATACTACTTATTGCTTCTGAATCCAAGTTCTTGGGGACATTGCCTTCTTGAAAATGAACCAATTCCTTTGCAGCTATTATGTGAATCAGCCCCTAGAATAGTAATTCCCAAAATTTGTTATATTGGTCGATGGTGTCTCATTTCAGAAGATGTACAGAATTCTAAAAAACAAAAAAACCTTTTAATTTTAATTGAATTTAATTTTTTAAAAAATACACACTTGAGGAGGAGGGGCAGAAATCATGAACTCAAATAAATGGTCATGACTTCCAAAAGGTTGGGAATCACTAGTTTAGGGATTTCCTTATATCTGCCTCCATTCTCATCCTCATCTAATTTCATGTGACTTCTTTTCATAAAAGCTTTCAGATTCTCTTGGTCACTCCACCCACAGAATGGAGATCCCCATCTATTGGAGGAAACCTGAGGCCCACAATACCAGATAGCCCTTGGTATGTTCAGGGGTGACACTGTTCCCTCACATAGCCCTCCTCCCCAGCCCCCAGAGAAATAGTACCTATCCACAATTCCTGTTCTTTTAGCTCTGAACTTTGCCTCTCTTCTTTGGCTCTGAGGTATTTTCCCTTCAAGCTTCCTTAAGGGACCCAGCCCTTGTGGACCTTCTACCTAGCTTGTTTCTGGTCACAAGCCCCTCTCCTTCAAGGGAAACAGTTACATATTGGAGCAGGAAAGGACTTGAATCAGAAAACTAAGCAAGAAGGTTTGACTTGGGCTGAGAAGGCAGCTGGCTGGAAGCTTCCCAGGTGTCATGGGAGGTAAGGGCTTATCTTGCTGACTACATCTCCCACTCTGCGAATAAAAGTCGGGAAAGCCTTCCCTCTCTTACTCAAGCCTTTGAAGGTGGAAGAAACAGAGCTATTGTCATCTTTTCACATTTGCTCAAGGGTGGGGACCTTATTTCTTCAGTTGCCTTCAATTGTTCACTCTCTGGTCATTTGGTCACTCAGTCTTATAGCACAATCCCTGACTTCCCCACCCCGCAGGTCTGAGGTTCTGGACCTGAGGTCATGAGAGGAGCTTCCCATCTGCCTGTCACCTATGTGTGTGTGCGTGTATGTGGATGTATGTGTTTACCTCACTAAGGGGACTCTTCACACTCAGTGTAAAATATCCTGGGGATAGGGCTAATGGGGGTGGCAAGGTCTCAGTCTCTCTCTTTTCCTTCTAATGGATCAGACATTGGATTAACAAAGTGCAGGCCTTGATTAGGACCAAATTTCTGTGCCTGTTGCTATGGTATTTATTTAGAACTCCAGCGTTAACCGTACGATGGCCCTCTTGTCACTCTATACATATGAATATACAGGACGTATTATAAATATATATATATAAATATTATCCTCTGTCTCCCCTGGCTTAGGATGGAGGCCTCTCTGTTGAGCTGTTGGGCACCTACCATTTGGTGCTGCCAGCAAGCCATCAGCCCTAGCCCTGTTCAGATGAACAAAGTCAACAATAAAGGAATGAGTATCGTTACTGAGGCTGCTGCTTGTCTTCCTTCCTGCTTTGTTTCTTTTATTTTCTCTCTCTTTTCTTCTTTCCTTCCCCTCCCTCTCCGTTCTCTTCTCTTCCCATATAGCAACTTGGAAATCCAACTCTGGTTCAGCACTAGTAAGGTAAAACACTCCCTGCTTGACCATGGAATCTTAGATGGGAAGAGGTCAAGAAGGCATCTTGACCACAGGGCATCTGCTCAACCCTCTGTGAGCAGCCTGTTGCCAGTCTCTTCATGGTCTGGGACACTGCCCTCAGTGTAGGTGCTGATGCTCATATCTACGGGGAGCTCTTAGACCCTGAAATGGGAGGTCTCCAGTCTAATGTTGCCACCAGACTTCTGCCATGTGCCCCCTTTCCGTGGTGTCCACACTTGTGGGTGTGGGGGTCGAGCAAGGTACATAGCTCTAAGTCCCATCTCTTCTTCAGCTCCAAGCAAATTTTCTGTCAGGGCCCAACTAGGGACTAGACTAGAGGTTCTTAACCTTTTTTGTGTTATGGGTGCCTTTGGCAGTCTGGTGAAGCCCATGGACCCCTTCTCAGAATGTTTTTAAATTCCAAAGACAAAATATGGAATTAGAAAGGAAACATATACTGAAATACAGTTTTCTAAAAGGCAAGGTCACAGACCCCATGTTAAGAACTCATGGATTAGACCATTGATACATAGAATCTGAGGGAGTGAAAAGAACATGGCTGTGGAGGCAGAGGCTCTGGGTTCAAATCCTACCATTGCCACTTACTACTTATATGACCTTCAGCAAGTCAGTTAACCTTTTTAGGCCTCATCTGTAAAATTGAATGGGCTGGACTAGATGTCCTCTTGGGTCCTTTCCAACTCTAGACCTATGGTCCTAGGTTCTACAGCCCCACTGATACCTGAACAAGAATCCTGTCAACAACATCCCAATTGGCCATTCAACTTTTGCCTAAAGTCCACTCTAGCATTAAAGAAAGCCACTCTTTCCTAAGGCAGCCCAGTCTATATTAGATAACTGTCAACAAAGAGTTTTTCTCCACATCAAGTAAAAATCTACTTGGCAACTCCTGCCTGGAGCTCCCCAGTTCTACACTTTGGGGCCCACAGGTGGGGAACCTGCAGTCTCGAGGCCATTATGTCCTCAAGTGTGGCCCTTTGAATCCAAACTTCACAGAACAAATCCCCTTAATAAAAGGATTTGCTCTGTAAAACTTGGACAAAAGGCCACACCCAAGGACCTGGAAGGCCACATGTGGCCTCAAGGCCTCAGGTTCTCCACCCCTGTGTCTGCGCCAAGCATAGCCAAGTTAAGTCTCTCTTTCACATAACAGTCCAAAGTGAGTAAGAATCAAAAGGCAAATGAAAAGTAGGTTCTCGTAAAAAAGGTTGGAGACTTTCCGCTCCAAGTGTAGCTTTGGGAGTGGGGTAGGCATGGAAGAGAGGTGGGGGGAGGTTGCTATTGAAGGTAGCTTTATAGCAAACCAGCTATTTGGATACCTGTCTATTTTCCTGGAGGGCTTGACCTGACCTTCCACCTCCCAACCTCCCTTTCCATCCTTAGCTCCCGGATCCAGGAGGAATCCTGAAACTGATCTGAAGAATGAGGCTGTGCTCTTGAAACAACTTGGGGAGGAGATGCTTAGAGACATCATTCTATCCAATCCCAATCCTGTGTTCTGTCGACTCAGCCTCACTTAAATCCAATTCATGTGCAGCACAAGACATGATGTCATCGGTTCTCTTCAAAAAAAACAGGACAAGCAGCTACAACAGCAACTCAGCCCAGATCCTCCCTTGCCCTCTCTCATCTTCCCTTCACTGCACCCTCTGCTCTCCTTGCACATTTTGCTTCTCTCCTTATTCATTGTGTATCAGTGCTTAAACCAGGAGGTTTAACTGTCTGCCCCTTGCACTCAGCATCTTTTGTCCCAAATTCTTGTTGTTGTTTGTCGTTTGTTCTCAAAGAGAACCAATGATATCAGGAGAGCAATGCCTTGACTTGCAAGTGAGTTGGATTTAAGTGAGGCAGAGGTACACAGTCATCAGCCTCACTCTCTTCTCCAGAGTCATCGGAGTCCAACAGCAAGACATAGGTCAAATGGCCCCAGATGTCCACATCATAATGCTGGGCACCAAAGACACTAGTGTTTCCACATGCTCCTTCTAGAAGTTCCATCCTTTTTGCTCACAATTTCCCTTTGTCTCACTACCAAAAAGCATTATTTTCCATGTGAGAAGAAATCAAGGTGTTAAAGGGAAAGTGACTTATTCCAACTTCCTTACTAAGCTAGTGGCAAAGTCAAGATAAAAAAAATCCAAGGCTTTTAGACACCCCCAAGACAGAAATCCAATTACAGCAAAATTTCTCTTCCATTCAAAGGGTATAGGTGATATTGGTGAATTCCTGGGGCTTTATGATAGCTGGGATTGTGTACAAAGGGGCTGAGAATTCAATGAAGAGTTCAGCAAACATTGATTAATCACCTACTTTGTGAAAGACACTATAGCTAATCACCTTGCCTGTGTTTTCTTAGTTTATAGAGCTATTTCCTATTTCCAGATTTAGTCCCAGCCAGGATCCTGACCTGTCACTTCTTTTAGTTTCTGAAAATGATAGGGTCTAGAACATCTATAAAACTATAGGTCTAGAACTGAAGGGGATCTCAGAGGCCTCACAACAACCCTGAAAGGTATTGTATATTCATTTTAAAGATGAGGAAACAGGCAGATGGATTCAATGACTTCCCAGGCATCACACATGTAATAAAGGGCTAAGGCTAGCTTTGAACTCAGATCTTCTAGATTCCAGCTGCAGGGTTCTAGCTACCGTGTTCTATCCTAGCTGTCTTCCAGGTGCTAGCCATTTGTGGCTTAAGTCAGGTTGCTACAGTAAATTTACTCATATTCATTACCAGTGTACAAATGTTATTCTAATGATTAGCTTCAAACAGATGTGGAAAAGCATGGAGGGAGCCTACCCAGGGTCTGGAGTTCACTATGCTGTAATAAATTGCTCATCTCCTAAAATCAGAACTCCCCCTGCCCCAGACTGCAATCTTTTTCTATTCTACCATGCCACGCATTTACCATACCTTCTGTCACGTAAACCTGTTCTATTAGAAGTCACAGGACTAAGGAGGCATGATATGGAAAGAGCCTTTCTTTAAGAGTCAGCAAACCTCACATTTTAATCCTGATAACTAGCTGTGTGTATCTCTTAGGAAGTAACTTCATCTCTGTGGACTTCATTTGCCTTATCTATAAAATGGGAGTAATAATACTGCCCCTATTTACCTCATAAGGATATTCAATCATGTAGTCAGTCAACAACCACTAAGTGCCTACAAGATATCTGGTTGAACAACGGATAAAGCACTGAGCTTGGCATCAGGAAGACCTGGCTTCAAATCCAGCCTCAGACAGTTATTAGTTGTGTGATGCCCAGGCAAGTCACTTAACCTCTGCCTCAGTTTCCTCAACTACAGAAATGGAGATAATAATCATACCTATCTTGCAGGGTTATCGTGAGGATCAGATGAGATAATATTCATAAAAAGCTCTTAGCACAGTGCTTAATAAATGTGTATTCCCTTTTCTTATTTCCCAATTATGTTCCAGGCACTATGGGAAGTTCTGGAGATGCAAAGACAAAAATTGTACAATTCTTCTCCTCAAGTAGCTTACATTCTATTGAATGAGACAACAAGGTCAGAGATGGAATGCCATGTGGGAGGAGCAGAAAGAAGGCTGGCCTGGCTGGGGTGGAGAGCATGGGGAGGGGCAATGTAGTAATGAAAATAGAAAAGATAAGTTGGGGCCAGATAGTGAACAACTTTCAAAGCCTAACAGAGGAGTTTATATTTGATCCTACCAGCAAAAGGGAGCCCCTGGACTTCATGGAGAAAAGGAGTGATGTGAATTCAGAGGGCAGTGACGCTCAATGTCAAAGAGACTTTCTTCTGAGGTCGGCAGAGCTTCTTATGTCCATGCAGATAACTAGGTGGGAGCTAGACTTTGCTCAGCCCACCATCTCTTTAAGCACTTTCTTCTTCATTCAGTTATGGATCCTTCCTATTTGATACAATATTCAGCACTCTCCAAAGAGTGCCTTATATTGGGGTTTCCACATATTCTCTTTATAAAGATGCCAAGCTTATGAGGTATTCCCTTCTTAGAGCAGCAACAATCCTGAGGTGGATGGGATTAAAGATAATATAAGTTAAAAATATTTACCTGGCTTTGCGCAGTTCATTTATTAAGACAGTTTTCTCTTTAGAGAAGGGATAGAGAACCTTTTTTTCTATTGCAAGTCATTGACTTCAGCTGGAGGGATGGAGCTCAGAGAATCAATTGGAAGACACATGTGAAAGATATGTTTTTGCTTTTGTTTTTCAGAGAGATATGTAAAATACTTTCTTCATCTTTTAAGCTAAAAGCAGAGAAAAAGCAACTTCATTCAATAAATACACTTCAATATGTGACTAATTAAGAGAGGCGGAGAGGAAGAATGAGAGATAAAAAGGAAGAAGGGAATGTGTGTGTATGTGTGTGTATACACACGTACATATGGAAGAGAGTGAGGGAATGGAGGAGGGAGAGAAATATTAAATACTTTAGTCATGGTTTAATAAGAACAGAGAAAACCACTCCATTCAATAAATACATCAGTTATAATGTTTATTGACTGAGTATAAAGTATATTTCAAGTCTACAGTTAAGAAAGAAAGAGGAAGAATGAGAGATGAAAAGGAAGAGTTATGTGTGTGTGTGTGTGTGTGTGTGTGTGTGTGTGTGTGTGTGCATTCATGCATACATATTTTGGTCAGTTTTATTTTAGTCGTGTCTGACTCTTCATCACCCTGTTTGGAATTTTCTGGGCAAAGATACTGGAGTGGTTTGCCATTTCCTTCTCCAGCTCGTTTTACAGATGAGGAAACTGAGACAAACAGGGTTAAGTGACTTGCCCAGGGTCACACAGCTAGTAAGTGTCTGAGGTCATATT